AGATGACCCAATGAATTACAGACCAATATCTAACCTTCCATTTTTATCCAAAGTCCTGGAGAAAATAGTGGCCATCCAAGTATGTCAGCATTTAAACACTAATGCTCTGTTTGAGGAATTTCAGTCTGGTTTTAGAGAGTATCACAGCACTGAAACTGCATTAGTGAGAGTTACAAATGATATTCTTATGGCCTCAGATAAGAATCTTGTGTCTGTTCTAGTCTTGTTAGATCTCAGTGCTGCCTTTCACACAGTTGATCACAATGTTCTTTTAGAAAGACTTGAACATGTTGTAGGGATCAAAGGAACAGCGTTAGGCTGGTTTAAATCCTACCTGTCTGACAGATTTCATTTTGTAAATGTACATGACAAATCTTCTTCATACTCCAGGGTTACTTGTGGAGTACCACAGGGTTCAGTGCTTGGGCCAATTCTTTTTACTATATATATATATGCTCCCAATTGGTAAAATCATTAGACAGCATGGGATAAACTTCCACTGTTATGCTGACGATACTCAGTTATATTTATCCATTAACCCTGATGAACCTAATCGGTTGGGTAGATTACAGGCTTGTCTTGAGGACATAAAAAATTGGATGACTCTTAACTTCTTGCTTTTTAAATCAAGACAAGACGGAAGTTCTCATCTTTGGACCAGAAATCCAGAAAAGGAAATTGCTTAGCCAATCGCCTGACCTTAATGGCATTACATTAATCTCCGAGAACAAAGCAAGGAACCTTGGTGTTATCTTTGACCAGGACATGTCATTCAAATCCCAGGTTTCACAAGTTTGTCGGATTTCCTTTTTCCACCTTCGGAATATTGCTAAGATTAGAAGCATACTTTCCAGGAGTGATGCTGAAAAACTAGTTCATGCATTTATTACATCAAGACTGGATTACTGTAATTCATTACTCTCAGGAAGTCCACAGAATGTAGTTAAAAGTCTTCAGCTTGTCCAAAATGCTGCAGCTAGAGTTCTGATGAGAATTAAAAAGAGAGATCATATCTCTCCTGTCTTAGCTTCCCTACATTGGCTACCTGTTAAATTCAGAATAGATTTTAAGATCCTTCTTCTCACATATAAAGCTCTTAATAATCAAGGTCCATCATACATCATTGATCTGATTGTTCCATATGTTCCTAACCGAGCACTTCGCTCTCAGACTGCAGGTCTACTGGTGGTTCCAAGAATATCTAAACTTAGGATGGGAGGCAGATCTTTTAGTTATCAGGCTTCTCTCCTGTGGAACCAGCTCCCAGCTTTAGTCCGTGAGGCAGACACTTTGTCTACTTTTAAGAATAGGCTTAAAACATTTTTATTTGATAGGGCTTATAGTTAAAATCTGATGTTAGCCTAAATCTGGACAAGTTGGGGATTACAGGGAGGTGGAGTGTACAGTCGGTAAAGACGGCTCTCCCTTGCCCTGCCTCCAACATGCCTCCATCTAAATAGGATAGGTTATCCAGAGTTAACTCTGTAGTTATGCTGCTATAGGCTTAGACTGCTGGAGGACACACTGACCACTTTTCACACTCTACTGCTTTCTTCTACAGTCTGCTCTTTAACTGTACTATTTTGTGCAATTTCAGCTGTTAACTTTATTTTCTCTGTAAGTGTTTTTCTCCCCAGAAGAAGCTACAATGACGTTCTGCTCAGCTGTGGTGGCCTCATGGAGGGGGCCATCGTCTAGCACACTGCTGCTAACCACTAATACATTCTCTCTCTCCTGATAATAACTTTTTGTTTTCATTGACTTTTGATGTGCTAATACTAGTTTATCCATTTAATTATCCACTAGGATAAATACAATAAAGTTTATCTTTCACCAAATACAATATTTACTAAGACATCACAATATAACTATAGACACATTACTTATCGTTGTGTGTGTGTGTGTGTGTGTGTGTGTGTGTGTGTGTGTGTGTGTGTGTGTGTGTGTGTGTGTGTGTGTGTGTGTGTGTGTGTGTGTGTGTGTGTGTGTGTGTGTGTGTGTGTGTGTGTGTGTGTGTGTGTGTGTGTGTGTGTGTGTGTGTGTGTGTCTGCCTGCTCTGTCTTCTCGATCCCCAGTGAGTCGTGGAGGATGGCTGCTTATACTGAGCCAGGATTCTCTGGAGGTTTCTTCCTGTTAAAAGGGAGTTTTCCTCTCCACTGTCGCTGCATGCTTGCTTAGTATGAGGATTGCTGTAAAGTCACTGACTAGTGTCAGTGACTTGATGCAATTTGCTGGGTTCCTTATATAGGAAACATTATTTCTGATTGGCTTAATGAACTGTGAATTGGAATGTTTATTATGTGAAGTGCCTTGAGACGACTCTTGTCGTGATTTGGCACTATATAAATAAACTTGAATTGAATTGAATTGAATATTTTTAAGTTATTTAGAAATTTTCATTACATTTGGAAAGTTTTTATTTATATATAAATCTCTTTTAAATGTTATATTTTACCTTTTTTTATAATTATGTGGCACACTTGACTTCCATACACAACGCATCGGCATCTGCCCCTTTTTACGGCTTTGTTTTTTACATTGTCGCTACGTCTGTCACGTTAGCGGTGTTTTACCATCATTTCTACATCCATCACGTCCCAGAGAAGTTTAAACCAACATCAAACCCAACGTTTGGAGCTTGTAAGCTCCACACACCTCTCGTGCAGCACCAGCTGTCTGATGCTGCAGCAGCTCAATCTTCCCGGCTGGATGAGTGAATTCCGTCATCAGAGTCAATAATCTGCTTCATAATCAGAGTCAGTCATGACCAGACAAATTCAACAAAGACCAGACCTGCGAGCAATTATACGTTTTATCTAATATTCACGCTCTTCATGCTGCACGCATCTCCTCCTCTCCCCGGCTGGGAGCCTCTAGGCGGGAGGCGATTTTCAAGCTCTAAAAACTCCCAAACTTTGCTCAGCCTGAAGGTTCCACATCTCCACTATCTTCTGGTGTAAAGTAGTAACTTCATGAGGGATCATATTTGTAGATGAGACTTGTTAAAGTCAGCAATGAGGCATTGGCGCTTATAACGATTAAGTCCCAACACTGACAACAACGTACTGAAACTAGAACCAACACGCATAAACAGACAGATCGGTCTGTTACACTGTTGGTCTTTTTTAAATACGCAGTAATCGTTGCCTTTTTCGCTTCATCCTGCATCCTAGCAGCAACCACTTTGGTGCCTCTGGAGTCGGTGTTTGTTTACGTCATGCTGCATTCAATGTAATTGGAAAAAGGAGCTGCAAGCGCTTAACCTCTGATTTGTTTTCTTTCTGGCCTTAGTTGGGGGGACAGATCGGGGTCGATCTGAATCTGCCCCCCCCCCCCCCCCGGTCCCCCACCCTATCTACGCACCTGACCTGAGCGACCACCAGCAGAGGCTCTGGGGGTGTCTCCACGTTCTGATCCCCCATCTCCATCCAGGACTCGGAGAACTTCACTCCTGTCTAACACGCTGGTTGAAGTCATTTTAAACTCTTAAAGGGATAGGTATTTATTTCTGTTAATAAATGAAATAAATCCACAGCCTTGTTGTTTTCTCAGCTCAACTTCTCCAGTTTTATATTTACTGAGAGGCTAATTCTGACTGACTGAATTCTATCATAAAGGAACCAAACTCTAGGATTAAAATGGGATCATTTGAGATCTCATCGTGTATTTTAGGTATTTTTTGGTCTACTTCACTGGATCTTCATGAATGATGTACATTTCGACTGAAAGTGTCTTTTTTGTCTCTTGATCCACATAAAATTACAAATATTGGGCCAATGAAAAGGTTCTATTAACAACTGAGTGTACCTTTCTCTGTTATTAATAAATTGCAGCCATCATTTTCTCTTTATAGGAGCACCGTTGCCTTGCAGCATGAAGGTTGCAGGTTAAAACCATGGCTGTGCCCTGTTGTTGGCATGCTCTGCCCTTTTCATTGGTGGGTTTTTGTCTTCAGCTGCTTCGGTTTCCTCCCACAGGTTAGGAAAATGCATGTTGGGCTTAACAAAGTGAGTCAACCCTAACGGTTGTGTGTCTCATTTGCTTCTATCATAGACATAGATAGACATAGACATCAATATATATGTCTGTGGTTTCTATGGCCCAACCCCAACACTCGCACTTCCACCTTTGCACCTTTCAATCGCACGCTTCCATTCAGGGGTGCGAGTGCGTAGGGTTTCCCCGATTCTTTAGTGCGGAAGTTGACCACGCCCCTTTTGCACCCTTGGGGAAAGGGTATTACCCACAATCTCTGCTCTGCATGTTTTAGACTAAGATTTAATGTAAATGACAATGAACGTCAATTTGGTCAAGAAACTGTTAATTTGTTTTAATTATTTAAAAAGTCGCACAAACAGCGACCAGCATGTGTTGCAGTCGGTGACAAAGCTCACTGTCCCAATTCGGGAATAATTTGCACACTTGTGTACTACGCACTCGAAGTCTTACTGCACACTTCCTCCAAGTGCACTTTGCTGAAGACTATAGGGCACCGTGTGAGTATTGGGTTTGGGCCTACGTCTCCCTGTGACAGACCGGAGACCCGGCCAGGGTGTCCAACCAGCTCCCTGTGACCTTATTTAGAGAAATTAACACATTTTCACTTTTAACTTAGAATAAACCATCCCCCAAAAAATAAATAAAAATGAAATAAAATTAAGGGTCGTTTGCAGAAATTTCACTTATAAAAGTAAAAAGGATTACTAAAAACTACAAACATTAATCATTATTTAAAAATGTTGGAAAAATCCGGGTAAATATATCAACTTCATCTATTTCCACATTAATAATAATAATGTAATTATTTTAAAGTTGCCCTGAATTAAAATTAATTACAAAACAGAACAATTTTCATGTGTTTTTTTCCCCCCTGTGTGGATTTTAAAGGGTTAAAGGGTGTGCTGATGATGCTCCAGGACCACAACACGTTAGCAACACAGAGACATTCATCAGCTTTTGCCGAGAGACAGGAGATGAAAAAGTGTGGAGCTGAGACTCACCTGCGGTCAGGTAGGATGGGAACCCTCCAGCCTTTGATGAAGCTGAGCGTCCTGTCGCTCAGCTCTACCAGCAGGGGGAGCTTGGGCACCCAGACGGTGAGCTCCAGCGGCGCGCTCAGGTGCTCGTAGCTGAAGATGACTCTGGCGTTCATGGAGCCTCGGGACTCTTTTCCGTTGACAAACACATAGTCGCAATTAATGGACACCTGGAACAGATCACGGCCAAGAGTCAGAGACCATCTATATGGTAATGGTCACACAGCTGCAGAGGGCGTCAGGGAGGTTCTGGGTGACGTACGGTGCAGAACACCGGTCCACAACTCACAGCAGAGCATCTCAAGGCTTCAGCAGGAAAAAGAACACATTTGTTTCAGCCAGAAGCAGAAAACGATGCAGCAGGGTGCAGATCTACAGATATGTCACTTCAGTTTCACAAACCAGAGTATGATTAAAAAAACTGTTGTTTCATCACGGATGTAGAACCTACGGAAGAAACAGCCTCACCAGAATCGGAGGAATTATTGTTCTGGTAAATTATGAATACACCAGCCAAAATTTGGCGACCCAAGCCAAAGTAATCATCACTCGATCGACTCGACGACTCACTGCTGTCATGTGGTCAGAGAAGCGTAATTTGACTGGCTAAAAGCCACCAGACTCGATCAAGTGACGATTACTTTGGGTTGGGTCATCAGGTTTAATTCCTGACGTGAAATCCTTACAGATGAAACTTTTAGATGTATTTTAAGTAAAAAAAAAAACAATTCAAAAACACAAATTTACAGAATAAAAACGAGAGTGTGTTTCTGCCACAGAACCCAGAGTAGAACCTTTGTTCTGTGTCACGTTTTAGCTCCAGCACAGCTTCAGCTGCATTCGCCGACGTGATGAAATACGGAACAGATGGGTGAAAATCAGCTGCGGCGTCGGGTCAGAACGGAGAACCTGCAGGCTCTCCATCCTGACAAAGCTGAGAACAACCGGCTGCAGGCGCCTCTCTGATCTCATTTGCATCCTTTATTCATTCAATTAGCGCTCGTGAGCAACACGGTGTTTGTTAAGCTTGCCCCTCCCCCCATCGTGATCTGTGAACAATTAAAAGACGGCAGCGAAAGCTTTCAGGCAAACATGTCACTCCTGTGGCATTTGACTTGAACTTTGCTCACGCCACCTTTGGCTCATAAATAAACATTTCACACCTTTTCCTGTGAAATGCGTTTCAGCCTCAGCAGCAGATTCAATTTATCGACTTCTCCAAATTTAACTTGAAACTCTTTTCTGAGAAAGCTGCAGCTTCATCTGAATTATAATAAATACTCAAAACGCTAAATTATTAACCGCACTGGATGTGGAGGGCTTTGCTTTTTGGGCTCACGTTGAAGATTTATCTGGCGTTGGGAGGTAGCTGGCATTGTAATCAGAGGATCTAATCTCCGGCAAATGGAGGTCGGGCTGGCCGGTCTTCTCAGGGCTGAGGATTCATCATAACCGGGAGGAGGTCTGGGTAATATAATTCCCTGCATGCAGACAGGCCGGAGCTGGGAGAAGGGGAGGGTGCTGGAACGACAGTCTCTCTCTTTGCTTCTGTTGATGTAATTCTGCAGGATTTGACCTCACAGGCTGCCATAAAGTCCAGTATTTGTGTTACTTTGCGGACGTGTGGTCGACGGGGTCATGAAACAAAGGAGAAGTGACTCAACACAGCCACCTCAGCTTTGATTAATCACAGCGGGACTTGCTGGACGTGCAGCTGACAGCGGAAAGCCACATTCAGGAAGAACACGCCCTCCTAGCTGCGCGGCGCCACTTCAGCTCCCGCAGCTCGAGCTGCTGATGAACTTGGCTGGCTAATTGCGAGTCAAAAGCTGTTAGCGGCTGCGGGTGTCAGTGGTCCTGTGGGGGCTTGCTGAGGAGGGCTTTCACACACACTGAGCCACCACATAATGCCGCGCTGCTGCTAATGCGCTGTGGCATCTTCCACGGTGCCAGCAGATTGCCTGGGTGGAGACAGATCGTCGGAACAAGAGCTGGCTCTGCCTCCGTCCTGTTGCTGCTCTCGGAGAGAAGAATCAAAGGCTGCTGGGGTTGCTAAAGGTGAACACACCTGAGGGCTTCTCGCGCATTTAGCCTGTGACATTAACTGAATAAGTAGCTTGTATTTTTTAAACAATCTGTTTTCTTTAGTGCAGTTTTACTGTAAAGGGAGTGCTCTTACAGCACCGCTAATCTTTCAGTTCATTCCCTTTCTGCAGAGGAAGCAGGACAATGTGTTGCATCTTCAGCTGTCAGACGAACATGAGGAGATCCTCCTGAACCCCGAGGCATCAGCAGCTGGTTTCCATCGTCAGTCTTCACTGAGAGACACGCAAGTGAATCGGAGACACCTGAAGGGCCAATTTAGACACGAGAGGAACAGTAATATCCCACAAAAATCTCATGCATGCAACAGGAACAGCTGCAAACTGTGTGTGGAAAAGCCAGGAATAAAATCCTATGCAGACCAACAGCAGGATAGAAGATAAGACTTCATTTGATCTACTTGCAGATATTTCTGTCCCCGTTAGTAATGCAGGTTGTTGCATCACCAAATGTATCCCTAAAGTTGAAATAAAGCTAACAGGAAGTTACTAATGCAGTCGTCCAATCGGGTTTCTCTAACAGACCCTTATATTTAGACTGAAATGTTAGAAAAAACAAGCAGAAAACCAACAAAGCATATTCAGTTCACTAAGGTCTCGTGTCGACATTCGAGTGGTCATTGTGAGCAGAATTTTTTGGATCAGAGGTTGCCATGGCTACATCGTGTACTTGCATCGACATATAAATATTGGACAATGGGTTTCCATAGGCTCCAATAACACGTTTTGGAAGAAAAATGGGAGGTGACCACCACCGCCATTTTGACCGTGTCACAGGTTCTGTCAAGCCCAGACAATTCCATAAAAGGGAAGAGAGGTGGAGCTGAGGGTGGGGCTGTAAGGCTGGGATCAACTGACGACACCCGGTCGAACTAGCTACAAGCTAACCTGAAGCTAACCCAAAGCTAACGCGGAGGTGGGAGCTAAGCTAACGGAGGTAGCAACCTAGCTACAACCGGAGTTAACTGTGCACAACACCGGAGCTTCTGAGTCAGAGATACGCCGGGATGACCGCTGGGTAAAACCGGGTGGAACACAGAGGTCTCCCGAGAGCTCCACAAGCCGATAGTCGGAACCCAGCTCCACCAGCATGTTATATTTCAACCCATTTTCTAAAGTGCAGCATTATGTTAAATGCACTGGGTTTTACCCTATTACATTTAAATTTCATGGTTAAACAGTGCATGTTAAAATCTAAGCTCAGCTCGGTAGTGACCTAAAATACATAAATATAGTTTTACTTACAGAAAAAAATAAAGTGGAGACTCCTTGGACGCTCTATTAGTGCAATTAATGCCACAGCAAGTCATTTTGTCCAACAATTGCACAAAAAATATCCAAAAAGAATACACAAACACTACAACTAATGGTCTACGTTGAGAGACTGAAAATGGCCGAACAGTTTCCAAGCCAGACCGAGGCTCTACTGAGGCCTTTCCACGGAGCTAGCTCTGCGGTCACGTGGGTCTGATGCTCATTAATTATACAGAATTTTAGGCTTTTAATACACTAAAACAGAAGAGTGAGAAAAAAATTCACCCCCCTCAGAGTTGTCATGAGTGTAAACTTGATCATTTAAACAAAAAACATGTTTTGGTACCAGGCTGTAAACATGTTTATTTCTGCTGTGAAATTGGTATTTTTAACATGGGAGTCAATGAGGATTTGCTCGCTTCCGACACCAGCCCCTAGTGGATGAGGGTGGAACTGCAATTTTTAGTACTTCCGGGATTGCTTCAATTTTTGAGCCGCATTGTGAGGGCTTGTGTACTTGTAGAAGTCCCGATTGCCCTAAAGCACAACAAATTAGACACAGAACAACATACCTAATGTGTGAATGCTGAACAGACTAAAACATCTGTAGCCTTTAAACCCACCAGGAGCCATCCATCTTACGACATGAAATCATTTGGTTAAACCTGAAACCAGGAGCTCCTGGTGGCGCCCATCATCACGCGACTTTTCCAAACCACCCAGACTTGAGTTTAAAATTAAGCGAATCGACACCTGCTCCTGACGAACGGAGGCTTCGTTCGGGGAGAACAAGTGCACGCTGCAGCCCAGATTGAGCGCTGACATCTGGTTAGCACCACTGGGGCTGTGCCTTCTACTGGTTAGAACATTTTTCTCCATGTGATGAATGTATGTTTGCCTCTAGAGCTGCAAGTTCATTTAGCTCTCGTAGCTAAATGAACCAGCCCCCATTAGCCTGTTGTTGGTGTTATTGATGATGAAGAGGAAAATGATCCGTTGTTCTGGGGAACTGGGAATTCCAAGCCTTTTGTTCGGGTGTAATAAAGAACCATCACGACTTGATGAGGATACATGAGTCTGCAGGTACTCCAGCATCCAGATGGATCGCTTTTATTTGCAGAAGTTTGTTTCTGACTCTGCTGAAGAGTGGAGGCAGAATTGTGCAGAACCCGGTTCTGTGGTTCCATCTGGGGACTTTGGGTCTTAAATCATACAGAGGGAAGCTCCTCCTTTCACAAATACATAGTTTCAGCATGGATGGAGTAGACTAAAGTTTTGGTTTCTAAAGTTAACTTAGTGAACAAAACTCATACCAGCCCAGTGGTCTAGTGGTGGAGTGTCCGCCCTGGCACGGAGAGATCGGGGTTAGATTCCCAGTCGGGTCATACCAAAGACTTTAAAACTGGGACCCAGCGCCTCCCTGCTTGACACTCCGCTTTAAGGGGTTGGTTTGGGGGGTTAAACCACCAAATGGTTCCCGGGTGCAGCCACCGCTGCAGCTCACCGCTCCCCTCCATGGGGATGGGTCAAATGCGAAGATGAACTTCACCAGTGAGCGATGAAGACTATGGGACTTTAACTTTAACTGTAACGAACTGAAGGAAAACATCAGCTGCCACTATTCATGCCAGGGATCGTGCTTCGGCCATCTTATGCAACAAACTTATGGAATTACAGTCGTTTTGGTCGGATTGAGTTTGGGTTTGAGCCCTGCTCAGTCTGCTGCAGCCGTGTCCTTGAGCAAGACACTTCACCCCCCTTGCCTTCTGGTGGTGTTCGGAGGAACCGGTGGCGTCTATGTACAGCAGTCTCGC